ATCGATTTTTGATATTAATAAATTTTGAATATTTTCAAAAAATTTTGATCATTTAATATTTAGTATCATAGGTTAAAGCCAATTAAAATGTTGCAACCAATTAGAAACTTTTTTTACTTATTTATTTTTTTTTTTTTAAAAAAAAATAAATTAAGGTAATTAGAAAATTTTTTAATCCTAATTTGGAACAATATTCCACATTAATTCATTTATTCACGTTGTCAAATAAAGCCGTTTAATCATAGACAAATATTTAAAGCGGCGCAGTAATTGTGGACTTAAAAAAGATGGTCAATGATTTACCGTCTAATAATAGATTATTTCATACAATTAAGTATATAATATATGTAGCATGCATGTGCATCTGTATACAAGACGTTCCATATGCTCTCATTGTAATTAAAAAAATTGAAACGGAAAATATCAATCAATAATTCACGATTTAGCCTTGCATATTCGTTTATCGATACAACGATAACAAAAACTTTAACTTCCGAGGATCGCGAATCACGTGAAATCAACGATATTAGATCAAAGTTTAAAAGAAGGATATATATTAATAATGAAATGACAACAGGAATAAAGGAATTTGTCCCCATAATCTCGGTACTAAAACTAATAAACTGGAAGCATTTTTTCCTGCAAAAATTAATCAATATAATTAATATAATTTTAAATTAAACACTAATATGTCCTAATTAATACCTATAATTAGTAAGTAATACTTTTATCACCTGAAATACTATTGTATCTGATAACCAAAAAATCAAAATAAAAAAGGTAATATCTTAAGCTACTTTTCCAGAGAAGGTAATCCATTCTTTAATTACAAGAGATAATAGTTCTTTTCTCTTGCTGAATAGTGCGAGTTGGATTAGAGAATTATATTTTTTAAATTATTTTACTGAACTAATAATTCATTAGAACTTTACTTTTAGCCATAACAGTTTAGTAAAGCAATCACTGCATTAGGAAGAGAAAGTCAAACGGTTATTGCAAATAGACATGCTAAATTAGAGAAAGACCAAAAACAAAATACAAGAATATGTATAAATGTAATTTATGTGAAAGAGTTTTCTCACAAAGAGGAAATCTTACACAACATTATAATTGACTCTATCCATATTATGAATATTAAATTGGATATAAGATCAGCAATACAAAATTCAAAATCATTTCGATCTTCAAATAATAATCTTGATATTAATGCTGAAGAAAATAAAATTATTAGGACGAATAATTTTTCATTATCAGGTGATCAAAATTCATCATCACAAATTTCACATTTTGAAAATGATAAAAGTATCTATGATGATAAAGATGATAAAAGGATCGAAGAGGATGATGATGAAAGGATCAAAGAGGATGATGATGTGAAAATCGAAAAGAATGAAGGGATCAAAGATAACGTAATTAAATTATCAAAAAATAGTGATAAAAGTGAAAGTTCTTTTAGAAATATTGAAGATTTTTATAACGGAAGTTATATTACTATACTTGATGATTTAAGTAGAAATTATAAACAAGAAACTATTATGTAACCAAGTGAGACATATAAGAAATTTATGACCACTGTAATACAGTATTATATTTCAGTGCAGCAGATGATATAATGTTAAAACTAATAAAAAAGAATTATACTGAATCATTATCTGCTTCTATGTGCAAAGGACAAATATATATGAACAAAATAAATATTAAGGATCTTCACTTAAAAATATAAGATCTCATTGAATTTGAAGAAAAAATTTATAAATTACAATATTATCTAATAATAGATGTAATAAAAGAGCTTATATTTAATCGTGAATTATTTAAAGAATTTTTATTTGATTATAAAGAAGAATGGAAATCTCGTAATATATGTATAAATTTTAAAAATTCTTATTATTATAACAAAACTAATAAATAGTATTTTAATAAGGATAAAAGGTTGATGCGAGTTTATTCAGAATAAAATACTGCTAAATAGTGGTATGAATAAGAATTACTTTTTAGTAAAATTCTTGCAGTAATGTTATATATTGATAGTCCTACACTTGATACATATGGGCGACACTCAGAATGCCCAGTATTTTTAACACTTGGTAATATTTCTAACTAACGTTAAAATTTGTTTTGTTGGCTTTTTACTACAATTGAGTACTTAAAATAGTAAATTTTGTGAAATTAAAAAATTTAAACAATATAAGTGAAATTTGAAATAATATGTTCTAAAGTATTTGCTAGGCCACTTCTTCAAAAAGAAGACATCTATTTAGCAATTAATAGAAAGATTGAATACTTTATTCCATATATATCTACTATATTAGCTGAAATATTAGAAGCACAAAGCATTTGTTATACTTATAAATCATATTGTATATTGTATTCTTACTATAAATGTCTTATGTCAGGAGATTAATTAAATAATATGCATATTGATAAAAATTCTATCATTTTACGAACTCATAAAATATGAATACAGTTATTTTTTCTTATAATGCTGCAAAATATTCCATTCATGAACAAAAGAATTTTTTCTAAAAATTTAAATAAAATACAAATATTTAATAATTTATTTATCTTTATTTTTAATTTATTTAAATTAATATGTAATTTATTTATCTTTATTTTTAATTTATTTAAATTAATATGTAATTTATTTACTTTAGAATGATAAACATTTATGATGCAGTAGCTTTAAACTATATGCACTTATAGAAAATAAGTTTATTTTCCTATATGCTTGACTTTACAAAAAGATTATTATGTATCTATTTGACTATTATATTATTACAAAATGGATGATTGATTGGCCACTATCATACTATTTAGTAGATTAAAAATATTGCATAATGGGTATCAATAAAGGGCAAAATTTACTGAGGCAGAAATGTAAGACGTTATGAAAATAATTATATTTGTATTAGATAAGCTTTATACAATTAATGATAAATTAAATATCAAAGTAATACAAAATATATATTTATTGATTGTAAATGATTAATTCAATACTTTATAAAATTTATTAAGATGTATATAATATCTAAAAAGAAAAAATTTAATGAAAATAAATCAAATAAGTTTGAGGTTTTTTTTTTAAAATCATTAAATTGTAATTTATTTTATTTAATTATACTTAACTTTTTATATTAATATAGTTAGAAATTATTAAATGGATAGATTATTTTGTCAAACTATTTAATCATTTTCATAGAGTGAACTTCATCTACGAAAATTGCACATATAGTGATATTATATCATTTCTACTATTAAATGCTAACTACTAAAACTTATGAAATATTACATAAAATTGAATTAAAAATCCATATAAAATATCTAATAAAATGAATGTTCTTAATCAAATAATCAAAACTGTAAATTATTATTAATTTTAAACAATCTATTTATTTTTGTTAAATTTTCAAAAAAATTAATGATAATGTTTTAAACTGAATATTAGATTTACTGATAAATAATTACAACTAAATCAAAAAATCAACTATTTTAAAATTAGATTATATGCGATATTTATTGAAAAACTACCTATTAATGAATTAGTTAATCTTGAGCAAAAATTAAAATGTGAAAAAGACATAGATGATTTATATATTGAAGGAATGTAAAATTTAATTTATTATTTAGATACTTTTTTAGATGAAAAGTTAAATATTTCAGAAAATGAAGATATTAACTTAAAAATTTATGCATCTAGAATATTAAAAAATGGAGAAATTATATATACAATTAGTAGATTTTATAGACGACTCAGATTTAGTGATGTTGCAGTTATAATAAATAATACTGTTAGTGATAATCCATTTGCGTAACTAAATGATTATGCCAACTAATATCACCAATGATTACTAGGAAAATTGTGATCACTGTTTTCACCAATTTCACTGCTATCACAGCTATCATTGTGATATTCATTTTCATTATTATAACGTTTATCATTATTTTA